CCCACCCTGCTCCCTATCCCCCTCGGTCCCTCTTCTCACCCCGCTCCCTGTCCCCCTCGGTCCCTCTCCTCACCCCCACCCCGCTCCCTGTCCCCCTCGGTCCCTCTCCTCATCCCCACCCCGCTCCCTGTTCCCCTCAGTCCCACTCCTTCCCAGCAGGACAGCAGCTGCAGGGGGTGAGTTCACCCATGAGCCTGGGGTGTATTGTGGGAAGGGGGTCCCTCACCGTAAGCTGCCCCAGCTGAGAATGCCTGGGCCTGCGAGGTGGAAAAGGGAGGCCAAGTCAGCAGGCTACTTCCCCAGAGAGCTCTGCTCCTGTCACAAGCCTGGATGCCAGGAAGGGAGGATACCCACCCCAGGGCTTAGTGCAGACCCCAGTGCAGGTGCCAGCCGCAGATCCTCATGCCCAGAGACTGGACAGACACCCAGTCCCAGGGAGTCAGATACGCCATGCAGAGTCCTGCCCCCTCCCACTGCCAGGACCCTACCTGCGGTGCCGTCTGTGCTCCGTGGTCCCGACCGAGTGGCAGTGCGGGAGTCCTGGCCTCTCTTGAGCAGGGAGGCCGTCACCCAATGAGGTGCGAGTGGGGCTGGGCCCTCGCGCTATGACTGTGCAGGATCCGGCTCAGCGCCAGCTGGGTTCACACCTTCCACGGGGGGTATAGTGGGGGGGGGGCTCAGATTTGCCCCCAGAGAGGGGAGGCCTTGGGGAGAGCAGAGCACTCAGAGCCGGGACTAGTTAAATTGTGAGAACTTTGGGTGTGAGCTACCAAAATGATGAGGACTGCAGTCAGGGTCCATGCAGCACCTGGCGCGATGGGGCCTGATGTCCTTTGGGTCTGTGCAGCGCCTGGCGCGATGGGGCCTGATCTCCCTCAGGTCTGTGCAGTGCCTGGCGCGATGGGGGCTCTGGTCTCCTTCGGGTCTGTGCAGCACCTGGCGCGACAGGAGCTCGGATCTCCCTCGGGTCTGTGCAGTACCTGATGCAGTGGGGGCCCTGATTTCCCTTGGGTCCATGCAGCGCCTGGGCTTGCTCTCAGTAACAAATAAATTACAGCAATGCCTACCAGCCACGCAGTGAATTCCAGTCGATCAGTTGGGGGGCGGCTCCCGCGAAGCCCGTGGGGTGGTTTCACTTTCAGGATGAATCGGGGCCAATGTCGCTCTTTGTTGTGGGTTTGGGGCGCTGGGACTGACGGCCTCAATTCATTGTGAAACCAGGGCGTGTGGGCGCCATTATCGCAGCTCGGCCTAGAGCAATGCCTACCAGCCACGCAGTGAATTCCAGTCGATCAGTTGGGGGGCGGCTCCCGCGAAGCCCGTGGGGTGGTTTCACTTTCAGGATGAATCGGGGCCAATGTCGCTCTTTGTTGTGGGTTTGGGGCGCTGGGACTGACGGCCTCAATTCATTGTGAAACCAGGGCGTGTGGGCGCCATTATCGCAGCTCGGCCTAGACATCAGCCTTCCTCAGACTGCCCCTCCCCCAGCGCCAGTTTGGGACCCTTTGTGTTCCCACTGTGCAAGGAACGGCCATGTCTCAAGCCCCCTGGGCATCCCAGACCAAGCTCCTTAAAGGGCTCGGTGCACTGGAGGCGCATCAGGACTCCCCCATATAGTGTGAACCTGTCCTGAGAGGTGGGTCATTTCTGACACCCTGATTCTCAGCCAGGCCAGGGACAGCTCTCCCGCCCAGATTGCTGGTTGGGACTAATGGGCACTGGCAGAGCTGGGGAGCACAGGGCTGGGATAGCAGGGGCTGGTGTTGGATTGGGGGCAGTGGCAGAGCGGGGGTGAGTGCAGGGCTGACTGAGGGACACCAGCAGGGTTACATAGGATCCAGGCTCAGTGTCTCCAGCATACATTTGAAATGAGATTGCTGGATTCTCTGCTGTGTCTGCAGTGGATGGCGGGGGATGCTCATCCCTGATCCTGGCTGGGAGGGTGTGGGGGATGCATGAGGGGGCAGCAGGGGCTCCCAGACTCAGACTAAGCAGCCCCACAGGGCTGAGAGCATTAACCCTTTGTGTACCAGTGCTGTGGCTCTGACCTACATCATGGGGCAGCCCAGCTTCCTGTACTGTAACCACAGCTTACAGTGCAGCCGCAGCCTTCCCCCCCACTCCCACACACACACCGGGCTTGCCTGGGGCTCTGCTAGAAATGCCCACCCCACTCCCCATCCCTCGGCCTCCATCCTGCACCAGTCAGCTCCCTCTTCCAGTCCTGATCCTGTGCTTATCCTCAAATCTCCTACCTTACAGGGTGAGTGGGGCCTTTCCGGGGCCAGCTACCCCTGTACCAGGCTCCACTCAAGCACCACTTGGTGGGTGAGGAAGGGCAGCCTGAATGGGAGGAGAGTTTGATGGTGGGATCAGGGCCCTGCCATGCTCCACACAGCCCCGGTCCCCTTCCTAGGGTTACCAGGTGTCCAGTTTTGAACCAGACAGTCCAGTATTTGAGCTTTCTGTTTGGGAAACAAAATGAGAAAATATAAATATCCGGTACTTTCTAACTAAAATGTAATGTAGATTGTGATGTAATGTTAAGTATGTCCGGTATTTTTGTTGAAACCATCTGGCAACCCTACCCCTTCCTCTGCTCCTAGCCTGGCTGCCGCCCCCACCCGCCT